GTTTGTGATTGTCGTTAGCTAATAAAACCAAATCATAACACAAACTAGTGAACTGGCTAAGTTCGGCACATCTGAAATCGGATATCTAAAAACGGATTTTAAAATCGATTTTGAAATCTGAAATCCGATAAATATCCGTTTGCGTTCAAAACCAAAAACGCCCATGTCTAGTTTGCGAGTCCGCAATGTCATTCACAATGCCTACAAAAATCTGTACTGATTTTTAGTTCTCGTTACGTCCTTTGTGGCGCTGCTGTTCAAGTTTCCATACAAAATTTGACAAAGACATTTCGGGCTCGCTAACTTCGAATTTGATGCATGGTTCCTGCTAAGGGTACAGCATGCGGGACAGCTAGATACAGTGTGACCAAGATCTCGTGACACTTTTATGACATTGATAGGCGGGCGCTGTTGGTGAATAAGTGGTAAAATGAGGATTACTAAGTCCGCAAAATCTCTTCGCTAGAACGTTTTAATTAATAATAAAGAGAAAAGAGATAAAGGAAATATAAAAGGCTTATTTACGCCTTGCTTTATCTTAGGGCATTTATGCTCTTGCGAACATGGTTTCAAGTATGTGCTTTTAGTATCTAAGTACATAAGTTTTATTATAAATTTAAGAGAAAATGATATCCATTTCAAAAGATTGGTCACTGTCACAGTGATAAATCTTTTGAAATGGATTTTTGGCCTCCGATTTTGATTATGAATCACAATAAATAATGTTATAATTAGAACAATGTTTAATTACTTCTCCTTACAATCCAATAACACACATCCTCGCTCAATTACATACGCCTCTTTCCCATGAGGGTAAGCAGAGTTTTTGTTTTTGTTTGTTTCATTCACAACCATCAATCACCAGGTTTTGTAATTAACACATTCACACAGTACCTATATCTGGCTCTTAATTTAAGTTTCATTCATCCTCTCTAAACTCTGTTCATCCTCTGTAAACTTGTCCTATTTACATGGACGTAGAAAAAAAGGCGGACAGAGTTTCGGCTAAGGGTGCGGCCAGAGTGCACTCAGATTCAGATTCCGATTCTGAAAACAAGCGCGAGAAATAAACAGTGTAGTCTAAGCAGGTTGCCTGCTTTTTCTCGCGCTTTGTTTTCTGAGTCTGAATCTGAGTGCACTCTGGCCGCACCACTGAGGCACCGTAATGGCGGCGGCTATTGATGAGTGAGTGAATTGTAGGGTTGCTAGGTTAACCAATTTTTTACCAATAAAACACAGTAAAAACATGAAAATATTTTGTTTGTTCAAAATTTTGCTTTTTGCCCGACTGCGGAGGATAATGTTTTTCGAGCGTATGTATGTATGTATGTCCAATAATTTGGCACGCACTACAGCCTAAACGTCTTGACGGATTTTGACATGCGAGGTGTCATTTGATTTGTCGTGATTGTGTGAGTGGCACTCGGTATATTAAAATTTCCAAAAATCAAAATAACTGATTTTATGCGCCAAAATGAAACATTTTGAAAAAAAGTATAAGTATTTTTATAACCCGTCAAGCGAGGTATCAAAGTGAAGGGTTTTAAAAGAATATTTAAAAAATATACAACTCGTGTAATTAAAAAATAATGAAATTAAAATTTTTAAAATAAAAAAAAATGTACTAAAAAGAAAAAAACAAGTCCAGTAGAATTCTGTTTAATAAGGAACAAAGTTACTTTAACAGTCGGGACTCATTAGAAATTCGAGAATGTATCGAATTTTCTCAATATTGGATAAATCAACTAAATATACATGGGCTGGCATGTATTCTCTTTCATATTTCTTAAAATAAACTAACACCCATTGAGTACTGTTTGTAATTGAGGAGTTCTATTGTTTTCCTCCGAAAGTACTCATCAGATCTCCAGTAAATTAATATCCAGTAATTTCTCCATACTACATTTTCATTAGGAAATCTGATAAAAAAGAATAATAAATAATAGATTGAAGTTAATGTCAACCCAATTTCCCATATTTTAGGTAATATGGTTACATGAACATTGGCAACACTGGGCTTTAGACTAATCATTATTTGCTAATTAAAAAAAAAAGACTAATCATTTTGTCCTTAGAATTAAAATTGATTTCGATTTCTAAAAACTTTAAAAGTGATTCAATTATTCATTTACCTATGAAACGTGATTCCTGGATTTTTATTCTTTCGGTCACTACGGTTTTTACACCTTTTTACAAGCAAGATATATCTTGTTTAGCTTATTTTTTGACGTGACAACGTCTTAAATTAGGTTGCGGCTGGGAGTCACTTATGAAAAAGTGTAACGCTCGGTAACGTTACGATGAGTCTCTCGTGTTAAGTTTAAGTTTACATGTACAATGATGTCGATTCTGGCATGATTCTCTAAACCTAAACTTAAATTTGACAACAGTGCATCCTTGTCCTTCTCTGTACAGAATGAAAAGGTGAGACTGACCTTTAATTTAGTTTTAAGTTTAGAGATGCACGCCAGAATTGACACCAATGTTTTAGTAAACAAAATATATTTCTATAGTTAAAATTTGTGCAATTCTTATTTTCATTCAATTCCTTGTTCCTATTGTGCAATTTAATTATATTCATATCAATAAATATGAATCGCGACCGCAGCACGTGCGACCAAATCTTTCTTCTCAAGCAGCTGATGGAAAAAAAGTGGGAATACGCGCAAAATATTCACTGTCTTTTCGTGGATTTTACAAAGGCGTACGACAGTATTGACAGGAACACATTATACTGCATTTTGAGGTCCTTCGGAATTCCGCGAAAACTAGTGAGGATGGTTGAGGTGGCCACTAAGTACAGCAGGATGAGAGTTAGAGCAGGAACTGAGCTGTCTGAGGAATTCGAAGTGGTTACTGGCCTTAAACAAGGGGATGCGCTTTCTCCGTTACTGTTTAACTTAGCACTTGAAAACGTCATTCGAAAAGTATTACAGGTCAGCGGCGGAGTGGAGTTGAACGGTAATCACAAGATTGTTGGGTATGCGGACGATCTAGCATTATTGGGAAAGTGTGAAGAAGAAGTCCGCAAGATGGCGGATACTCTAGAGGAAGAAGGTGGGAAGGTTGGTCTGAAAATAAGCCACGAAAAGACTGAGTATTTTCACATGAAAAGGTACAAAAACACGAGAGAGAAACGGAAGGATCTGACTGTGAAAGGAACCACCTATAAGGGCGTCAGTAAATTTAAATATCTGGGCTGTACGGTAACTGACACCAACAGAAGAGAAGAGGAGATCGACACCCGTATCCAAGGCGCACTCAGGTGCACAGCTGCTCTTCACAAGGTCTTGGTTTCCAAGCTGTTACTAAGAAAGACCAAGATTCGGATCTACAACACAGTGATTAGGCCGATCTTGATGTACGGTTGTGAGGCTTGGACGCTAACCCTTAGAGAGGAGAATAAGTTGCTGGTCGCCGAAAGAAGGATTATGCGGAAGATCCTGGGGCCGACTCAAAGAGAGGATGGTAGCTGGAGAGTGCGGACGAACATTGAGTTGGAAAATCTAGTGTCCGAGCCCAACATCATAGGAGAAATTAAAGCAGCTAGACTCCGCTGGCTCGGGCATGTAGAGAGAATGGGAGAGGATCGAGCCGTGAAAAGGGCGTATTTGGGGCAACCGATAGGACGACGGCCCGTTGGACGTCCCAGATACCGCTGGAGCGACGAAGTGCATAGGGACTTGCAGTCTTTGGGTGCCGACGGCTGGCGAGACCTAGCCCGGGATCGCAGAGCATGGCGTCATCTTGTGTCGGAGGCCAAGATCCACTTCGGATCGTTGCGCCACAGCAGTAAGTAAGTATATCAATAAATATTCTACCGAGAAAAAGACGTTGTCACGTAAAATCTTCGCCCGTAAAACCGACTTTACAGGCAACCATTTTTATCTCCACGTAACGTATCGGCTGCTTTCACGTTTGCACGCGTAGTGGCTGACTATTGTGTGAATGTGTGCGTGCCGGCTTGTACGTACAGCGACCTGGCCGACTCTGAGCGACACAGTTTATTGTTTACCGGGACTCTGTCCGCCTTTTTTTATAAGTCCATGCCTATTAAGTAAACCATCTTGGTACTCCTTTTTATTGAATAGTAGCATATAAAATCAATTGATAACTAGATGTAAAAGGTTTCAGTGTGTAATAACGATTTATTGTTAAAGATTGTTGGATGTATTATCTTTTATATTTCTATGAGTGATTCCGTTGAAAGTTGTGCGAAGATTGTTTACCAAACAAGTTAGGATGAACAGACTTTATAACGGTGACCATCCCACCGGAGCATTCCTTTCTCAATACATGTCTCTATGCCATGTTTCAGACCACCTTTCACGAATCACATCATATTCGTCACTCTATCACTCAATTTCACTCCACATATCATAAGCAGAGAACGCATCGACAGTATTTTTCCTGATCTTATTCTTTTGCCACACCCAATATTCACTTCCATACACGATTGTCGGCACCAACACTCCATAATGAATTAATGAATAGCCAATCGCGCCTTCTTACTGCAGTCCTTTTCATCTAGCGATGCGCGACTTCGAATACTACTAATACTAATCATTCGACTCCACGAATCATTCGACTAAGTCGACTGCGCTTTATAATATTCGACTGTATGTCGCGTCAAAGATATCAGGCTGCGCGCATCACACGCAGCGACATTTTACATTAGTACCTAGTTGTTATTCGAAAAATGACATTAGTATACTACTAAGTCGCCTTTCAAATAGCCAAATTAGTAGTTACGAATTAGTCGAAAGGTAAAATCATTCGTAGTTGCGCATCGCTATTTTCATCACTCGCCCATAGAATCACAGACTACCTAAATTCAAAAATATAAGAAAATTTCAAGTATCACAATGTATTTTACCTTCTTCTATACGCAGTGATAAAACAGCTAGATTTTTTGAATTTACCGCCATTTTCCAGGCTCAGGTTTCGTGTCCCAGACTTTAATCAATATTTGAATGTACTATACAGACTCGAAAACTTACTGTGGTTTTAGCAATCCAAAACAGTTCTTCTAGTAAATTGTTTGAGTTTTCAGCAGCCTCCAATTTATAAGGTATACCCTTGTACTACACATACGAAAACAAAAAAAAACGTTAGGGTTGGAAGCGCTTATTATAAAGCTATGTTAGTACACCTAAAAGGTGCAACAGGAAAGTTAGTAGATAGGTACCTAAAGATATTTGAACAGAGTACGTCACAGTTCATTATTTATCGGATCTAATATGACTGCACTAGGCAACGAGGGAATATCCTTCACACGTTTCGTCACGTCACGTCAGCCATGGACTTATTATATAAATTGCAAACAAATAACACTACAATCTTGTATTTTTTGGTTTTCTCTTAAGTTTTGTGGCAAAACACTAACTTGAAACATACGTTACAAATCCGTTAATATCATGTAAACCGCGACTTTCATATATTTCGATATACCCGCTAAAGTTATTTTCGTTTAAAAATTATACTGCCAGGTTACCTCTGCGACTCATCCATCATCATCAGTCGGGGGACGCCCACTTCTGCACATAGGTCTCCTCAAGGGATTTCCATACATGATGACCTCCGTGGCCGAGTGGTTTGTACGCCAGGTTTCATGGTGTCGTCGCCGAACCGAGAGGTCCCGGATTCGAATCCAGGTGGGGGCAAATGTTTGTGGGATGAATACGAGCATTTTTACTCCAGTCATGAATGTTTAATATGTATTTCTATATAAATATACTATGTACTGTATATGTATTCTATCCATTACCCTAGCATCCCATAACACAAGCCATAGAATATGGCCAGAGTGCACTCAGATTCAGACTCAGAAAACAAGCGCGAGAAATATACAGTGTAGTTTAAGCAGGCTGCCTGCTGCCACTATGGCCACCCTGCTTTAACTACATTGTTTATTTCTCGAGCTTGTTTTCTGAGTCTGAATCTGAATCTGCGTGCACTCTGGCCGTACCCTTACAGTGCTTACTTTGGGGCTAGGCTAATTGGTGTGAGTGTTGGAAATATTTATTTATTTATATACAGCAGTCCTGAACTTTTAGCATCCATTCAGTGGGTCCCCCCAACTCGCTTAATGTCGTCAGTCCACCTGGTGAGAGGTCTACCGACACTCTCTTCTCGGTGCGAGGTCGCTATTGAAGCACTTTAGGACTCCAACGCCCATCCGTTCGCCGAACTATGTGCCCCGCCCATTGCTACTTTATCTTTACGATCCTTTGAGCTATGTTGGTTATTCTAGTTATTCTACGGATTTCTCCATTCCAGATTCGATCACGTAGAAAAACAACGAGCATAACTCTCTCCATCGCTCGCTGTGCGACTCTGAGCCTTCATAAGAGGCTTAACATAGTCAACAACCACGTCTCAGCTCCTTATTTCATCACGGTGTTGGCAACACTCACAGTTCGAGATCTTGGTCTTTAGGCCCTGAGATATTTCAGATGAGAACACGTCGTTTAGTTTTCCAAACGCTGCCCAGCCGAGTTGATTTCGGCGGTGTACCTTATTCTCGAAATTGGACTTACCAACTGGACTATTTGTGCCATATAATATACGAGTATTTGTCTACAATTTCGAGTGCAGAATAGGAAATAAGTAGGTAAGCGTGTATTTTTTTTTTATTTTTATTACATGCTTACTTATTTCCTTTTTTATTTTTATAAAAACTATTACTTTTAAGTTGCCCCTCCATCAATATTTGTTAATAAAATTTCTTTTTGGGCAAAAAATAAATGATATGAGCGTGGGAAATTCAAATATTATGAAACGCGACAAGAGCGGCTGTGACGTAAAATATAAAAACGTAATGTTCACAGTATATGCCAATGGTGTCGATTCTGGCATGATTCTCTAAACCTAAACTTAAATCGGACAACTGTATCCTAGTCTTTCTCCATACAGAATGAAAAGGACAGACTGACTTTAGATTTAGTTTTAAGTTTAGAGAATCCACACCAATGTGTACGAGATTATAGTGAGTGTGCGTAGATGTGTCAAAGCCGCGTTCCACCTGAATACCGAATGCAACTTTTCACAATGATATTTAATTTTTTACAAAAATGTATATTTGATTAACGAAGGTTCTGACTTCCATCCGCAATGAAACACAAAATAGACATATTTTGTGTTTTTAGTCCGGCCCCGACTCGAGCGTGTAGTCGTGTATACAAGTAGCTTGAGTTTAGTTTGTCTACTCGTCGTGTTAGCGCTGTTGGCATTCTGCACCTCCTCCTGCTCCCCTATCAGTGGCTTCACTTAATTTATAAGAGAAAACGCTATATAACACCTCTTTGTTTTTGCTCCATGGTTCTAGCCGTACTAAATGTATGAAACCGATCGCATCACAACATAACACGTTAGATAAGCTGCCTCTACTCGTGTTCATTTAAATAAAACCCATTTGTTGGGAGACTTTGCTGAGGTCGTTGATCATTGTATTGAGATCCTCCAAAGTGTCTGCCTTATCACATATATCATCGACAAAGCGAAGGTGGCAGTTGACAGAGACATTATTTAGGCAGACTAAAGAAAGTCTTAGGTTGGTAAGGTCAGGTCAGGTTAGGTCTTGATTCAATAGAAAATCTTATCGATATTACTCAAGTCTGAGAATAAAAAGTTAGACTTTATCTAAACGTAATTAAGGAATACAAACCTGAGTAAAGCTATTGAAATGCTCTCTCTCAAATACTTCAATTTCCATATCAAGTTCAGATGCTCTTGTGATTCGGTTGACCGCTATACCCTGTAGAAGTAGCGGCCGAAATCTAACTAGATTCGGTGTATCTTTCTTATTTGTCAGCAGTAAAATTAACATAGCTTGTCTTGGATTAATCTCTTTAATCCAATTTCTCATCTGAAAGTAATTGTTTTTAAAACATTCCATGTTGCTGGAAATTCTTAGAACATATATTAATTTTATTATACTTACTTCTGATAATGAAGACAATATTTTATTACCGATGTTACCATCAAATACACTTGACATCATTTTTGCAGAGCCAATAATATGTAAAAACTCATCCAAATTAGTGATCTTATTAAGAGGGAAGCTGCACCTCTCTCCCGATATATTAGAAGTAGATTTACATTTCTTGTATAGTTTAACAAAACTCTTTTTTCTTGCTTTAGTAGAATTCGAATAGGCTTGAATTTCCTTTCTATTTATTTTTTCAGGATTATTTTTGTATTCTATCATTTTCAGTGACGATTCAGTCAGTTTGTCATTTTGTTTTATAATGCCACTAAACAGTGAATTTAGCCCTATGGATAATATATAGTCAGAACTCTTTTCTTGTCCTCTTGTTTGATCAATTTGTACACTGACAATTTTATTGAAATTTCCTAAATATAAACTTAATGGCATAGAAAGCTTGAAACGGATAGTAAGATCCTGATCCCACATTTGTTCAAGTAGATTTTTTACGTTAAGTTTTTCCAAAGGAGTATTTGTGATACTATTAATGATTTTACAATTTGGGGGGTTGTATATCTGAAGCGCAGTACACGTAGAATACGGGCGTTTACACATGAAATCACTCATCTTTGATAATCTTATTGCTGGATCAAATTGTATTGGCAATAAACGCTGTATACAGTGTAAATTTGGAAGTATACTTTTGAAATTGCAGTATCTCATTTCTAGTTGTGGCTTAATGATTTCAAAAGTTTTGTAACTGGGCAAGTTATTTTTGTATAAACCTTCAAAACTTTTCTTTAAACCTGGCGATAAATCAATAACAGTCGAAAATTCACATTTAGTAACGATTGGGATTTCATTCCGTATTAATTCCGATATCGTATATAAATTTGGATCATTTTGATGAGATTTTATTGCTAGCAGTGAGGGCAATTTATTAGAATCCATAATGACTTTCAATACTGCCGGTATCATGCTACAAAGTTCCGCAGGAAGTACAGCATTCAATATAGTTGTTTTACATTTTAGTATTTTTGTTTGGCTTTCATTTTTCATCACAGGGATAAAAGAAGATGATTTCAATAACATATTATCGGATTGCAAGAGATGAGCAACATCGAACTGAACCATGACATTTGCTGTACAGTGGCATATCGAAACTTCTTTCATGTTTAAGGTCTTGATCTTAAGTACAGGAGGACTTTGATTGAATCCAGGTAACAAATCTTCATTATTATCAACTACGATATTATTTTCTGTAAAATCATTATTATTAACTGCAATTTCTTTATTTTCAACAAATATGTTTCCGTTTTTGGTTATGTTCTTTCCCGAAAGTAAAGTTTGAACAGCAACCTCATTTAAATAATCTGCAGGAGGGAAAACATTTAGTAAAAGTACATTATATTTGCAAAGTAATTAAAAAGTATGAGTATATCTTACTTAGAGGTTTCGTTTTGTTTTGACATATATTTTCTTGATTATAATAAATCCCATTCCGTATTTTTCTTATCACATTTTCTATAAATTCGCTAGCCCATTTTCCTTTTGTCCAAGTGTTCCTTGTATTTGATAACACCTTATTTGTTTGATGCAATTCTTTGTAAGAAAACGCTTTAGGTAGTCCTCGTGGAGTAGCATGACTAGGCTTGACAAAAGTCTGTGTGCTGGTATCTATATCGTTGGTCTTTACATGTGATTTAACTTGATCTACAGATAAAGGGGCATTTGTTCGATTATTGCTATTTTCTGGTACTTTTTCATCTAAACTCTTTAAAGAAACTTTTTTATATAAAAGTTTTAGCACCGTATCTCGTAACTGCTGAACTGGTTTTGAATGTTTAGCTTTGCCTTTAAATTTATTAATTTCCAAGGACGATACAGGATGTTTACTTTCTCCTTTATTCGTCATGGCCCCATTGTCATTCACATTACTTCGTTTATAATAATCAGTTTTATTTTCTGATATTTGGTTTGTTCTGCTTTGGTGAACTTTATTTTCTACAGGTATATCGAACTTGTATTTAGTTAAACCTTTCCTTTCTTCTGAATATGTGTTTAAATTTAGTTTTGTTTCAACATCATATTTGTTTTTGGGTGAAATTTTTGGATTTTCGACATTTTCTGTAGAACCCATTTTCTTATCAGAGTAACATTTTTGTTTTTGTGAATACGGTTTAATTTGTTCTTTCAGCTCTAAACCTTTATATTTCTGATGCTCTTCGTTTGGAGCCTTATTTCTAGTAGTATTAAGTTGCTCGTTTCCTGAAATATTACCTTGCAGCGTTCGTATGTAGTACTTATGTAGCTTTAAAAAATAATATCTAGTTCATGGTTTGGAAGTCGGGCCGGTCAAGTTGGTAATAATACGTCTTTCAATCTTGCCCACCTCGTCCCCCCTCCCCGACTTCCAAATCATGAACCAGATATTATTTTTTTACTTTTTAGTTCCATGTTTGATTTTGATGTCGATTTTATATTTTGTTTAAAAAAAATATTAAAAATAGCTACTTACTTGGGATAGTAGTCGATAATCGAGGCTTTCTCTTTTGTTCCTCCTTTTGTATTGGCGTCATTGCATTACGTCCTTTACAAAGAATAACTTTCGTTATGCCATTTACATGTAGATTTTGTAGTACTTGAACTTCAGCGTCTATTACAAGCGAACAGAACGTTACATAGATATATCATCAACTCATACTAAAAATATTACATACAACTTGTCAACTTTAGTTCTATTTTTAACTTTCTGTAAAATAATTAAGAATTATCTACCTTTAATGTTATCATTTTTTATTATATCACAGTCTTTTTTGCTTTTATATTGTGATTGCGTTGATGAAGCAATTTGGTGCTTAATTTTTTCGTTTGCTGCGGTGACTGCTGATTTTTTTTTATCTCCTTCTTTTGAGAGTTCATCTTTAACTATTACGTGATTAGGAGTGGTACTGAAATCCACCGGTTTCTTTTTGTTGTTTGCTATCTCTTCAGAAATGTTTTCTATTTCAGAGCTAATCATTTTTTCTTTATCAACGTGCTTAACGTGTTCATATTGATGTAATTGCTTATCAATTTCTTTGGAAGCTTTATCATGGCTGTTATTTTTAGTAATATTTCTATTTGTCCGATTCCCTTTTACTCGTTGTTTTCCTTTTATATTGTTTCTCTTCATTATGCTCTCTTCTACTTTTTGGCATATTTCACTTATCTCTTCTTGCTTATCTATAACAGTGACGCGATCGAAACTAGAAGAATGTGAAAAACTATGTGGCGATTTACTTTCGAAATCATAACTTGAAATGTAAGCAAATTCTTCTGTACGACAAGTTTCAATAACTCTGAAAATAAAAATATATCGAATACATTGTTTATATGTGTCCACTTGTGTTACTTACACAGCAACAACAAACAAAAGTGTGTCTAGCCAGCCTATTCACTACGTAACTACAGAGAAAATTGTATATCCATCGATGCTTTTCAGGACAAGTATCTTAGTGGTTTTATAATAAAACAGTAGTGGATCGCTAAATAGTTCGGTGATTATTACTTCCATTAGTCAAAAGCAGTTACCGAATAGGCCTACTGATCATATAACACGCCTGTATGAACTTTCTTTGTTCATCCACATTTGTATAGCATGTATGTAGCAAGTGCACCGAAAGGTAAGCAAAAAGGCTAAAACTTATCAATAACTGTGCTGAGTTTATTGAACTCAATCATAAAAAGTATGCTTAAATAAAAAAAATAAGGAGCAGTTACCGATTATCTCTAAAATAATTCTTCCTTTTGTTCTTCGTTTTCTTTTTTATTGGTGTCTTAATACTGTCATCATCTGATGCAGGGGGCGAAGGTCTAAACTGGAATCTATTAATATTCCTGAGCACAGCCCAGACATCTTGGGCACTAAATTTATTTTCATCTTTCGACGTGTTGGGATAGCGACTTTTATTAGAAACCCTATTGCTATCTCCCGTAAATTTTAACATATCGGTAGAGCTAGAATTTAGATCGATGTTCATTTGAGAACAGAAGCGAGCATCCCTATCGTAAAATACATAATCTTTGTTCTGAACTCTCGTCTTTCCTTTCTGTATTTGAAGCCTTCTCTTTGATCTTAATTGTTTGGTATTATCCCTTGTATTTGAATAATCAGAATCGTTCATATCACTAACGGTGCAAGTCTGAGGAATGATAGCAGGCACGTTCGGAAGGGTCAGAACTGATTTCTTAATTTTCTTGAAGCCCTTTCTATGAGATTTAAATTCATCAGAGTTGGCTTTATAGATGTTAACGGCTAAAGGAAAGGATGAAACAATATTTGTCGCTCTCTTTTGGGTATTTTTTTTCTCTTTAAGCATTGCACGTAAACGCGCATTGTCGTTAGCTAAATATGGTGACTTTGTATTTTTCTTTTTCTTGGTTTTATTATTACTGCACCGGCTTTCACATCCACTTATACTGTCTTCCGTAAACAAGGATGAACTTTGAATTTTACTGGATGGTAAATTATCTACTGAAGAATCTGAAGGATGTTCTGGCTCTATTTTATTACATGATTTCTCAAAAGTGGTAATTGCCATAGCAAAAGAAAACGCTGGATCTGTAATAAACAAGCGATATGAATTTACCTTGACAAAACATACCTGCCTAAGTAACTAACCTGAATACGATATTATAATTTGTCAGTGTTTTATCTTATAAATTTTTAACAGAAAATTACACTAAAATATACCTGTATAGTATTACATAAATTCGACGTTAATATTTTATTGTCTAAAAACTAAAACATGCTAGAACAGAACCGCACAGTCTAAACTTCTTTAGACTATGATAATTTGCAACCCCCCCACCCCTAAAATTAGTAAATCAAATCAAAATATATCAGTAACCACAATGCTGCTATTTTCACCTTGCCTCGCAGCCTGCCGCTCCAGACCCTCTTGGCCCTAGGGTCCATCCATGGGCCAGGAAACTCAATGCCACAGGAGTGGAGACATTTTAAGGGTAATAACAACAGTTTTGATAATTTGGTACTCAATGTCGAAGTCATGAAGTTGACGCACCCATACTCCGTATTATTATCCCTACTTCGCAACAATGAACATGGCGTCGGTCGGTGTCTATGATACGGCATTGCCACAGAAAGAGGTACCTAATGCTGCACTTTGTTTGATCCACTTTAATTTATGTATATTAAAATTTGGTTTATGAAACTGTCAGAATGTGTGCGGTAAATATTTATAAACATTTAAACAGTAACGTTATAAGTGCAAATGAGCATTCCGCGACGATTTCACGTGGCGTTATCAAAGATTTAAATCTTTGGGCAGTTTTATTTCTATCGTGTGTTATATTAAATTACAAGATAAAGTGACCTCTTTGAAATAGTTCTAAGTAGTACTTACCTCTAATTATCTTATTTCTAAATTAAAATCGCGAATAGGGACATCTGTTTTATTGTGATGGGGTTTTATTATTAACCAGAAAATTACTTACCTTAAATCCAAAAAAATATGTTTCACAATAATTTCGAGTTTCGTCCAAATAACAGTTGGGCAGCTACATTGAAATCACTAATTATGATGGCGTATTTAACAAAATATACCCAACATTATTGCCATTGACCTATCAAAAATGAATGTAAATTGTAATTTTATCAATATTTGACAGTATCACATCACCTATTGTTTTTAGACTATCGCAGTAACAAGTTTTAGTTTTAACTGCCAGTCGGTTTTCATTTAAAATAAAAAGAAATGGCATTCTGTGCAAAGGCTATGAGATTTCAACTATGCATTCAGCATGGGATACGATTTACCTTTAGACGAAGAAGCTCGCTAATTTTCAGAGCTTTTGCTATTGTTTTTACCTGAAGTTACACTGCTGCGAAAATAGCGACCATGATCACGATGCAATAGAAGTATGACAAAATATCGCTAGGTATGTACCTACCTATTTACCTAATAAAATTTCCGAATACATAAAATGTTTTGGTTAAAAATGCTGCCCTATATAAATCCTTGAATACCTATTTATAGGTATATCCCACTTATATGTCCGAGGATTTTTTAAGGGCATCATTTTTTAACAAAAATATTTTATGTATTCGAAAATAAGGTAAGTAGGATCCTAAAGATGCCAGCGGCGGAGTATCTTCTACCACAATTAAATGTAAAATATATATATATATATATATATATATAACATGAAGCCGTATGAACTTAGTATCCCTTGTATTCTAAAAAGGGAGAGAGTAATTAAAAAAATAACAATTGAATGTCAAAAGCAGCTGTTTTTGACAATTCACCAGTCAACAGAATTGTGATTCGTTCTTTTTTGCATTGTGTGGATAAAAGTGGACTATGTTGTTGAAAACTCTTGTTTTCAGTCGTATAAATTGAACATAGAATCACAATTTCCATCAATTTATACTTTTTCACGCCAATTTTATTGATAGCACCTCAGTAAAATCTGCCGGAAAGGTTGTCAGTTCAGTGTAATAACAGCCGGGGCGTTATTTACATTTCTTTTAAGATCATTGTATTTTTTTTTGTAAGGTATTAATTTAAATATGAGTTCTCTCGAAGAGCAAACTGAAATCATACAATACGTTCCATTCATGTCTTTTGTTCACCCGTCGTTTTGGCATACTCTGACCGAACAAAAGCTTGATATTGACAAGTTAAATGAAAATTCCAAACAGATTTTTGGGCGTTTTACATACCGTAGTGATCTAGGGTCGATATTTGAAGTGGACGGAACTTCGTTCAACAGGTATTTATAGTATATTTTTCAATGCAATAAAGTAATATACAGTCCAAAATTTATTCTGATTACTTAACTATTTATGTAAACATTGTAGTACTCCAGAAAATGAACAGTTTTATTTAAATGTGAAGGGTAAACTGCTGAATAAAAATACTATTGAGGACTTCAAAAACATTGATAAAGCCTCTTTGCTCAATACTGTTGGTGAAGCTTTATGGAAAGAGATAAAAAACAGAAAATGGATCGAGGATCCTTCAACTTTGTTAAATTTCATTGTTCTTTCTTTTGCTGTAAGTATTCGTTAAGATTATCTCATTTACTTTTGTAAAACAATTATTGTACTTTATAATATTTATTTTTGAAGGATTTAACTACTAGATGTTCAAATCTAAAGAAACTATTACTAGAAAAATTTTCATTCCATCCAGGTTTCAAAGAAGATTGTACTTGTAACTTTCATACTTAAAATTAAAAGCCTTTTTGAAGTGATATTTGAAAAGGTTTTAGTTATCCTTGCATGCTTCTCATAATAAAATAAATTATTTCCAGGATCTTAAGAAATTTCACTATTTTTATTGGTTTGCATTCCCAGCGCCAAGTCAACCCACAATATATTTAGGTGAGAAAAGTACCAGTATATCCAATCATTTTAAGAAAGAACAACTGGAGAGTCTAGCACAAGCATTTAAATCACTTGATTTAGAGCAGAAGTGCTTTTTTGTAGTCACAAAAAGTGATTCTGTTGTCATTGTTGAAACACTCGCAGAGGTATTACTTAAAAAAGGATTTTCCAAAGACATATTAGAATTAGATTTTACTAATACATACTTTGGATTTGCTGACTCAAGTAACAGCAACAACCCGGGCTGGTCACTTCGTTTGTTTCTGGCAGCTATCTTTGATCTTTATCAAAATTTACATAAGAATGATTTGAAAATAATTGGATTGAGATGCAACTCTAATGGTGGTGTTGAAAATAGTCTTATATTCACAATAAAAGCTTCTCAGGTTTGTTATTATGTCAACTTATTTTTACTTTTTCTTTAATATAATGTAATATTGATCTGTAATACAGTACCCGATCTCCTAATATGTAATTGGCTATTGAGTAGCTGATAATGATAATATAATTAAAAATCCACTTTTGTACAGTATGGACACTGAGTAATAAGCATGAACAAATGTAAATAAATCAATACTTTTTTATTATTCTATTAACATTTTATGTTACTTAAATCTTCTTACTGAGGAGCTAGATAGCGCAGGTGGTAAGCGCGTTCGGCTGCGATTGTTGTAGTTAAGCAACTTTCGCAGTGGTTGGTCATTGGATGGGGGACCAAAAATTTCTGTCTCGAGTTCCTCCGTGCTACGGAAGGCACGTGAAGCCGTTGGTCCCGGTTGCATCTGCAGTCGTTAGCACTCGCCAATCCGCACTGGGCCTGCGTGGTGGGTCATGGCTCAATCTCCCTATTCCATCCATAGGGAAGGCCTGTGCCCCGAAAGTGGGGACATTAAGAGGCTGATGATGATCACTTAAATCTAGCACAGGTGTTATTTTATACTTGCATTGGTACAATTTTAGCTGTTACCGGTTGGTTTAAATTGGTTTAGACTAGGCCATACTATTTTATCCTTGAGTATGCGTATTTATATCAGGATCAACTAGTTTGGCCTAGGCTAAACTGGTTTATCCTATCGGGCTTAGGAAAAAAATAGTTTGAACTAGGCTATACTAGTTAATCCTATCGCGTATAGGAAGACCTAGTTTAGCCTAGGCAAAACTATTTTGTCCTGAAATCGGGTTTGGCCGGTAACATAGCTAAGTTCTTTTCTATTTAGGCTGCTAGGCATACATTTTTTTGGACTACAATTCAGATCTGGATCTATTTTATTATATATTTTTTATCAATAATTGTATTCTGTTTTATGTGCTAAACAAATAAAATAAATAAATAATAATGTCTAAAATATGTTACAGAGTACCTACCTACATGCATAATTTATATTTTATATATTAAATACATTTAAGAGACAATTTCATGTTTACAGAATATACAAGCAGTAGAAAGTGCAGGATGGGTTGGTTGGGAAAGAAATGACAAGGGCAATTTTGGTCCAAAGCTTGCCAACATGTCAGCCTCTATGGATCCTGTAAAGTAAGATTGCACCCACAATAAAGTTGCTTCTTAAGGTGCGCCCGGATTAGAGGCAGCCTGGAGGTGAGCAGCCTCACCACGCCCGGCTCGTGTGAGGGCTGCATCGGTAAATAGTTAGAGCAATACGAGGCAGCAGACTGAGTCAAGGTGCTTCGGGTTAAGCCACGAAGTCGCTTGGCGTGCTTAAATCACGTCCATGCTTGCAAGGCATGTAGCACAGTAAGAAAAAACAGCTAAGTGAGAGTCGCACTCGCGCACGAAGGGTTCTGTACAACAAACCGTGAAAGGAAAATGATTTGTTGGTTTTCGTCACAACTGCCAAAGTCCATTACGAATCGGCGTTTTCAGTTTTTGTTGAGTAATTCAGCATATGGGATACCTACAATATACCAAAATTTTACATTCCTTACTGGTTTAGATTTTGAGATAGACCCCGTAAATAAATGGTCTAAATATAATATCTTTCACGGCCCGCCATTTCTTTGTTTTTGCAAATAAAAAAAAACGAGCGAGCCTTACAGTGGTCGCGTATTATGTATAACATTTGAATGAAACCTCACCTTATACATATTAGTAAAAAAAAGAAATAAAACCTACTACAAAAGGAATAAGCCATTTGAACATTATGTTCTAAAATCAAATCGAATAGCGCGCGCTTTGGCGACTTCCTGTTACACACTTCCGTCCCATTTCACGAAATCACTCCCACAAATTGCAGGAAAGCGAGAGGAAAGATGTTACACATCAAAAATATATATATATCCTACTCAACGAGCTGTAGACAATGATGTCGCGGGGGCGACTGCGAATAAAGGACAGGGCGAGCCGTGCGTGCCTCAGGCGAGGCTGCCCCTAATCCGTAGGTACGCACTTATTTTGTTAATTCCTAACATCTTACACTTTCCATTATTTTCAGATTAGCAGACACAGCTTCAGACCTTAACATCAAGTTGATGAAATGGCGTTTAGTCCCTGACCTAAATGTGGACATCATGAAGACAACCAAATGTCTTTTACTTGGAGCTGGGACACTTGGGTGTCATGTTGCACGCAATTTATTGGTGTGTTTAATTGTATTATGGTTTCTAACAATACTTCATTAGTGAAGCTACTAAAACCATTTATAAATAACGAGCGGCCCGCCCTGGCTTCGCTTCGGTGTAGAGCTGAAGTGGAGACTACAGTTTTTGTTCTCAGGCTTGTATTATACACAATGGCATTCATCTATGATTCTTCTTATACCTGCATGCAAAGTCGCAGCCCAATCGGTTTAAAATTGACGAAAGTTTCATACAAACTTTCATTCCCTATTTTATCCCCTTGGGGGTAGAATTGATCAAAATCCTTCTTAGCCGATGCCAACGTCATAACAACTACCTGCATGCCAAATTTCAGCCCGATCCGTCCAGTGGTTTGGGCTGTGCATTGATAGATCACTATGTCAGTCAGTCCTTTGAGTTTTATATATAGATACTTATTTTCAGTTGTCAGTATTTATTTTATATACATAGATACAGAACACATTCACAACTTTGTTTTAATCAGCTAAATCATCTCTGCTTATTAATGCCAAAATCATATTATATATTTTGTAAGGAATGATAATAATATATTCAATATTACCTAATCAGTTATTAAAATATTGAACAGAAATCATTTTATATTACAGGCATGGGGATTCCGTCACGTCACTTTCATAGATAATGGTAAAGTGTCTTACTCAAATCCGACACGGCAAGTTTTGTTCAACTACCAAGATTCTCTAGGCGGGGGAAGAATGAAAGCGGAAGCTGCTGCTGACAATTTGAAATTGATTTTACCATCTATAGTAAGTTTAATGTATTCTTAATTTCTCCTTATATAATTGATAGGGTTCATGGCTTATACCTTACGGAGTTAAAATGGGAATTAAATTTAATGCACGGTGAGTTAAAAAAATTAAAACAATAGTTTAACAGCAATCTCCGTTCAATGGCACTGGACGTGGTCACATTCACATATAGGTACTATACACACGACATATTTCATAAGTCAAAATATACTTGCAGGAAAGTTAACAGGTCAAAAATCAAAATTAAAAATGAAAATAATCCAATTAAAATTAACAATTGTTTGGCTCAATTTTAATACAAATGTCCAGTCCTACATTCCAATTATATTGTTACTAAATACATATAAGTACATTTCCTTTATTTATTTTTTCATCTCAACCAGCAATTCTATTTCAGCACACCCAAGGCATTGTTGCTCATATCCCAATGCCTGGCCACCCAATAGGAGAGTCCTTGAAAAATGAAACCATAAATAATGTAAATCTACTCACGGAAGCCATCAAAGAGCACGACGTGATATTCCTTCTGCTGGACACTAGAGAAGCGAGGTGGTTGCCAACATTAATAGCAGCACATTATGGAAAGGTAAAGTTTAGTGCATGCATACAATCAATGATGTATAATAAATAGGCAGGTTATACGCCATCATTAACCAACTTCCCAACAACAGCCGCCTATAGAGTGCACTAAAATAGTCTTTTTCACTCATTCATAAAGCAGATTACATCTCGCTCTTTAACCACTGTGTCAATGGTGTCAGCAACTGTCAAAATAATTTATTACAATATTTTTACATGAATTTCTTTAAAACTGTACTTACTTAAGAATGAAATGACACGTTTTTCTTGTCTCTAATAGTTCCCGTTTATTTTGTGTACTATTATAAATACACATAGGGCTTTTTGTCTGGAAAAACTAAAATATTTACACATTGTAGCAAAGTGTATCTGCGGCGAGAGTGTGCCCAACCAAATGCAAGTCGGGCAATTACCTGACTTTCATATTGCCAAAATAGAAGCGTGTATGACATATCTATAACTTTAAAACATCATAGTATACAATACAAAAGTCGAAGGGCGATACCTTGAGCCATACATAAACCGCTAAAATGATTTCAATGAAATTTGGTATAAAGACAGTTTGAGTCCCGGGAAAGGACCTAAGATAGCCTAAAGCTAAGAAGTTTGTATGAGAAACTAATATTTCCAACACATTTCCACGCAGATGAAGTCGCCACCACCACGCTAGGGAGTGCTTTTTAGAATCTCACAGAAACCTAACCCTTTAAACGGAAGCACTGATTCTATAGGTAAACCGCTTAACCGAGTCGTCCTCGCCTTCGGGGTACAGGGTATGGGGGAATTCACGGTCCTCGTTTTTGTCCTCCGCCACACCATTTACCCCGCAGGCGAGGACTCATTTAAGCGGTCTACCTATACACACGACCTTTCAAAAAAATACATTCTCTTTGTGGCTGTATTTTAACATGATCACAGCACATCACAGTTTAATGTTAATTGGTCACCCTAAGGCTGGCTGCGCAGGTTCTAGATGCGGTTCCGAATATATAAAAATATATATAAAAAATATATAAAAATGAAACCCGTTTTCCGTTGTCACGACATAACATGAAAACGGCTTGACCGATTTGGCTGATTTTTTTTTGTAGTTTTCTAATACTCTGTACAAGGTTCTTACGGAAAAAAATATAAATAAAAATAAAAAAATTGAATACATAAGATAGGTCAGCTATACAAAATAAAGTAGTGCATCAAAGCTACGCTAAGGCGGTAGGAAATTCGCCGGGTCAGTCATAAATATATACCAGGCTATTAATGTACCCACTTTTTAATTTTGAGAAGCCACTCCATTGGTCCGCAAGTCAACGGCGGGAGACCTTGTGGTTAGGAATACTGAGTAGAACTGTACTGTACCCTTAGCAGTTAGCACGAACCACGGTAGATACCTGTCAAATGTCACTGAAGGACGACTGTACTGTATTGAGGACAATTGAAATAAATGCCGACATTACTGTAAGATTACGGATTTTCCTGTTGGTTTTAGATAACAATAAATGCCGCCCTGGGATTCGACAGTTATCTAGTAATGAGGCATGGTATTAGCGATAGTACAGCGACTGGCGATGCCTCCCACGAAAATTCTTTTATACCAGGTGGGCAGCTGGGATGCTATTTTTGCAATGATGTCACAGCCCCAGGAAATGTAAGTTTTTGTTATACATTTAATGTTGCATTATTAGTTGGTATTTTTAAAGTTTTAGCATACGAAATGTGTTTTACTGTTGGATACCTAAAGATTTTTTACTGTTTGAAACAATATAAAAAGTGAAATTTATACATGTTCGAATATTTTTAATGGTGTCAAAATGATACTAATTGATAATATTTATATTTCGGAAGTGAGGCACATGCATGTGTACATTCTAGTGAATCCTGGATAGTTTTGATTCACAACTGGATCAGGTAGATTTATATTGAACTAGCGGCCGCGCGCGTTAAGAGTCTTTTAAGTTTTCGGACTTATAATATAGCCTACCTATGACACTCACAAGTGACGTGGCAAGTAAAAAAAATTCAAAATTTGTCCAGTAGATCCAGAGATATAATAACCCCCATATAACATCACAAACTTTATAATATTAGTATAGATTATTGAAATGAATCATCATCAGCCTATTAATGTCCCCGCTGCTGGGGCACAGGCCTTCCCTATGGATGGAATAGGGAGATTGGGCCATGACCCACCACGCGAGACCAGTGCGGATTGGTGGGTGCTAACGACTGCAGATGCAGCCGGGACCAACGGCTTCACGTGCCTTCCGAAGCACGGAGGAGCTCGAAATAGTAAATTTTTGGTCACCCATCCAATGTCCGACCTCTGCGAAAGTTGCTTAACTTCAACGTTCGCAGCCGAACGCGCTAACCACATGCGCCTTCAAGCTCCTCATTGAAATTTATACTTACGTATAATTAATTGTTAGTCAGTGAAGGACCGCACGCTAGACCAGCAGTGTACGGTGACTCGGCCCGGCGCCGCAGCAGTGGCGGCCGCTCTCGCTGTCGAACTACTAGCCGCCATGCTGCAACACCCCGCCGGGTATTTATATTTATTTATTACTAGCGGCCGCCCGCGACTTCGTACGCGTGGAGTTAGTTATTTGCACATACTTTTTGATTCCAAAGGGGGATTTATTTTTAAAGATACATTATTAGTACACCTCTACACCATAATACAGACAAGACCAGTACTCCGACTTCATACTAGCACCCGAATCGACGCACGCAGACAAACAAACTTCATTTACACGGCCGCTAACCAATCTTGCCAAGACAAATCTACGCAGTGCCACGTCGCGCGCCGCTGAGTCTGGTCGTTGGCCGAGTTAAGTTAGCTGCGCCGCGCCGTTTGCGTACGTTTCGATTCCGTAACGTGGCAATAGTAACTATACACATACAATAAAAATCTACACAAATATATTTTACATTTTGTAGGTACCAACCCTAGCGCTCCGCTCATTCGTAGGTATCAATTTCAAGAAAACGGCTGAGTTACGTTACTGTATATATGTATGCTGTGTCTACACCATATATAGAGCATTCATGTTAACAAGTCTCTTACTTCAAAAACATAGGACTTTCATACAAACTTCCAATCCCCGTATTACCCCCTTAGGGATGGAGTTTCGTGATAATATGTATGTATGTACCTATATGTTGACCCGACTTCTTAAAATATTCGTGACATATTTGAAGTGAATCCATGCAGTAACTTTTTGAGTTTATCCCGGACATACCTACATATAGACAAACAGACAAAAATTCTAAAAACTATATTTTTGGCTGCGGTATCGATTGTAGATCACACCCAAGTATTATTTTAAAAAAATATTCAATGTACAGTTTTGACTTTCCTACCATTTTATTATACCTTTGTATAGATATTAGGTGTGAGCGTTCTAAAGACGAACCGGTTTCAAGGACCGTTTTGTGTTCCGCGACGATAGAACCGTTTTACGTTTCGGATCAAAACAGTCTTCGTCGAACAACTAGTCCTCGGATTGTCTACACGCTAATATGTACTTTATGATGAACTGAATACAGTCTATAATAGAACGCAATGTTATGAGACCGTTTCGTTCTATGATAAATTAAGCTTTGAGTTTACAATAATATAATCATTATTATTGAACGATTAAAGTCGATTATCGTATAACACTACATTTATTTCGATGTTTCGTCGTCGCGTTCGCAGCAACGAAACGAACGTTAACAAGATTTCATTTAGTTCAGTTTCGTTGTGTTACATTCGTTCGGCCGTCGCGTGTCGTTTCGTTGCGTTACCCAGCCGCAACCAAAACCAGTTGCGAACGAGAACCGTTTCGAGGACTAGTTTTCATTTAAGTGAAAACGGTTGCGTTTCGTCGTCAGAAAATTTGAGAACGACCCACCGCTAATAGATATGGTTTCGCGTACACCGATAATTTAATAAAACACTTTTTGAACGGGTACCTCTATAAAGCGCGATTTTTAACCTTGTTCCCTTAATACTGAGTTTCGGATCCTTTACAGCAGTGGTTCTAAACCTTTTAGTGACGGACGAGGGACCATTTGTCAAATTTTCTGACTTGATACGGACCATCACTTACTTATTTTGACGTAAGGCTTCGCAGACCACTTCGGATGCTTCCAGGAACACCGGTTAGGAACCACTGCTTTACAAGGATCTTTTTAGTGGCGCGAAGGATTCAGCGGCCGCGCAATGACTCGTGTTGTGCGTGCGTAAGCTAATAAAGTGCGTAAAAATCATTATACTTATGTATTGTAATCGTTAGCCTAGTATCCCATTACACAAGTTAAATTACTCAGGTACCTAAACCCGAGTAATTTGGATGTGAGTTTAAGGAGTATTTAATGATTATGTTCTATTACAGGGTACAAGCGCCGGCATTCTACAATCTCTCTAGTGAAACGGAGAATGATATACCACTGGACATGCAAGGCGTTCTGGGCCCAATACCACATTCCATCAGGGGATTCTTGCATTCCTTCCAAAGTGTACTTCCGACTTGTGCCAAATTCAAGCAATGCATCGCTTGCTCCGATGTCGTCATTAATAAGTATAAAGAAGAAGGGATGGAGTTCCTGTTAAGAGTGTTTAACAGTGGTACTTATTTAGAAGATGTTACTGGCCTGTCAGAATTGCATTTGGCAGCCGAAATGACTGATGTAAGTTTTTTATATATTAGTTCTGCCGAGTGTGAATTTCACTTGTATTATTCACAAAAAATGTTATGCCCTTTTATCTAGGTATATGTATATTTTTTTTTATGAATAATTCCAAAAATTTTTTAAGAGTAACACCACCCTATACATATTTTTTTTGATATCTTTTGATTTAAACAACGAGGAGTATGTAACTGCTTAAAAAAATAAAAATCATTATTATTGATATTTTTTTATTGGTAAATATTTGAATGATTACCCCACCATCTGCACCTGATATTAAGTTAAATGTCAGTAGTTTATCTACATTTTGGCTAATTATTTGTTTGATATGTGTTGGCTTTAACATCGTATTATTTATGCCTATTTCTTTAATTTCAGATGTTAGCACTCTCCGAAGATGATGATGATGATGCATGAACTAATTAAATACTCGACATAGGAAATATTCCCTTCATAGCAGCTAGCAGCTTGGGTCATTGTAAACGATGCAAATGGCTTTATTTATTGTGATATTTTTTAAATGTGTTGTGTATCGAATTAATAAGCGAAATTAAATTACATTATTTACTTATATGTATATGTCGTGCGAAATAAACTATTGTTAAGTAATCATCTAGCCATTTATTTGAACAAACAAATCGGTCTTCTCATATTAAAATCATTACTTAATTGGTTCCACGAACTCACAGCCCCAAAACGTCACGTCATATATGTAGTTCTCTAACATCTTTATCCAGTTTATCAAAATCGGTTCAGCTTTTCAGATGTGCAAACGCAACATATTCCAGTTTCTTTCACATGTAGTATATTAGTATGAATGGTATTGTTTCATCTTTTTTATTGATTATTTTATTATACAAAAAGCTCGAGATAACAGTTGATTCATTGAAGGTGTTCCTTCCTTAAGGCATCCTAACCGGGATGATAACTCACATTTTTTTTCTTTCTCTATCAGGTAGATTATCAAAAATAATGGACATGTTTTTTTTTTATTTTTTTCACGTAATCATAACATTACAGAGATATATTGATTTGAAATGTTGCATGCCGTCACGTATTGGTACAATACTTACTTAGAAATGACGTCACGAGCCCCCTCTCCCAAACTTTAAGTTATATGATCAAAAAATACTGGACACATTTTTTATTTCTAAATTATTTTTTATTTATAAAAAATATGTGTCCCGTATTTTTTGATCATATAACTGAAGGACGAAATAGAATAGTTTACTTTACCCCGTCAACATCCCTACTATTCGTCCTTGAGAATATTGGCTGCTACAGCATATTGTTACAGCGCCTTCACAAAGGTAGGCGACTTTTAAATACTCGCCAGATCTGTTAACTTGAACTTGGCCTGACACGATAATAATAATAATAATAGTTTATTGTGTTTTTTACATGCTAACAGATATTTAAATAATAATATTTCATTAAACAAGACAATAGGGAATGGCTCAGCGAATGTTGATCAAGCCTAGTCCTGAACCAACGCCGGTTTTCAGCCACCGCTTAATTTTATCTATCGTTTTATCGTTTGTTAATTAATAATATAGAGAGCCGACGATAACGCGTTTGGATAAATAAATATTCTACTAGGCCAAAGCGTATCCACACAAAACCTTTATTATTAAACCAGACTTTATGTGCGGCCAAAATCTATCAGTTAAATCGATTGTGAAATGCCATTGGTATGAGTAATTAATAATTAATTAAGACGGTACTATGCTTATGGTAAAAAGCAGTCTTAAGTCACGTTTATACCTAATTGTGACAAAAAGCAAATTATCCTCTTAGTTCGGTGTAGTGTTGGGTAGGACACGACTTGAAAAAGAGTTTGTAAGAGTAGCCTCTTTCTTGTACTGAGCCATTACAATGTCCCACTTCAAATGAGGCGAGGCGTACTGAAGCTCGGCAATACATTTGAAGTGACGAGTACAAATATGACATTGAGGCGTACAGAAGCTCGATATTACGTTTGTGTGCACGAGTAGCACCTCCTCTACGCACTATCAATCTTGCTGGATCCAGCATGCAGGACAGCGCTATACACGTAAAAGAGATACAGATGGATAATGCGTAGAGGACTTAAATGAAATGACATGCCTCGCTCTCCCTCAGACTTACGAAGAGTGAGTGAGTAACGAGACGCGACTATCGCGACATTTAATGTGAAGTAGTACATTTTAAAATGTTGAGCCGCTCTTACATTTTGACGTCATGTCCGGGACAAATGTACCGCCTCTTGTAAGTATTACTCAACACTAGTTCGGTGGTTAACAAAAAGTTGAATATTTAATTTATAAGAAAAAGGGTAAACTGTAAAAAATTATAAATGTGAAGAAGAAGTATGGGGTAGCATACTAATTAAAGACCTTAAATTAAAAGTAATAATAAAACCGTCATTAACACTAAAAACTGTTTATTATTATTCCTATCAATCACTTTGAATATAACAAAAATGCCATTATTTATCCTAAGGGACCATTGTCATCTGTATAACTGATACTTTAGATTTATTGGGAAAGACAATTTCTTTGACTGGTTTCGGAGGTCTAATCTTCCTTCCGTGCCTGCCATCTTTTCTGTGCCATAAGCCGGAGCGCGGGCGATTTCCGAGCCACCTGTTCCGCTGTGGAGAACCAATCGGAGTGTCTCCGTGATCTACATTAGAAAGTCTTCCTGCAACCAACGAATTATTAAATGAATATAAATTGTTTAATGTAACAATTTGTAAGGAGGAGGTTACTTCCCCAGACTGGTGCTTGAATTCGAGCTGAAAATTCTCTATGCCCATTAGGGATAGGTCGTGTTAATTTAACCTTACTTTATATATAATAAAAAATAATAAATCAATATTTCCAACACTCACGCCAATTAGCCTAGCCCGAAAGTAAGCACTGAAAGGCTTGTGTTATGGGATACTAGGGTAAGGGATAGAATACATATACTGATACATATATAAGTAGGTAAGATATTTTAATTGTAGAAATTTTATATAAACATTCATGACTTAGGTATAAATGCACATACTCATCATACTAACACTTGCCCCACCACTGTACATAGCTCTCACGGCAACAGAGGTCGTCATAAAAACAAATGTATGTTTTTTCGAGGATAAAACCAATTAATGTTGTTAAATAATTGGTTTTATCCTCGAGAAACAAGGAATCTATGTTCTGGTTTAAGATCTACTGATAGTTAAATAAGTGGTTTTATTATCGCGACAAAAATTAGTCCTGGTATAGACATAAACTCACCTTATGTCTATACCAAAGTTCTTCAAAATTGGTTCAGCAGTTTAAGCGTGAAAGCCTAAGAGACATACAAAGTTACTCTTGCATTTACGTTATTAATATGAATAACAGAATCAAAACGGTTCAGAACGAGACAAAATAACAAATAAGTCAGTTCGTCTGTCAAGACCGTTTTTCTCAGGAACGCGTGGAGGTATCAAACTGAAATTCATATCTAATACTCATGTCTACTGTTCCTTGGAGCTGTGAAAAAATCAAACTTCTAAGCCAAAACAATCAAAAGATACAGCCGTTTATGCTGCAAATTTTCGCAAACTTTCGAATCTCGCACTGGAATCAAAACCTACAAGGTACTTTCCGTGAACTTAGAATCTTGAAATTTGGTACGAAGTAACGTCTTATAGTACAGATAAGGGAAAAATTGCGAAACCGTAAATTTTTAGTTACATCATATCTATAATAAAAAATATTTTTGAAAATTTTAAAGTTATTAAGTACCTATTTTCTCATGAACGCATAGAGGTATTAAATTGAGTTTGTACGGAACCCTCGCTCGGTGCGCGAGTCCGACTCGCACTTGACCGGTTTTTTTTGTGCATAAGCCAAAGTTGACAATCCTAGTGCGCCCGCCGAGCGTAGGTATACAAAATTAAGTACATGCATGAGATTACCTTTTGTACTATTTTGTGCCTAAAGTAAGCACTTAAGTTATGGGATACAGGCATGACTTGAGTACAAATGCTTATATTCATCAAAAAAACAGTTAGGTGATGCCTTGTAAAATTCATCAATGTAGTACCTATAATGGTCTTTTATTCATTAATATGTAAAACCATCTATAATTTGGACACAAGAATTATGCTTTCCCCAGCCACAGCCCAAAGTGAAGTTTGAGATATACACAGCAGACATACCAACAACAGCCATACAATGCTGGTCAAAGCTAAAGGTTCTTTTAGATGGCATCTGTACAATAACTCTGTCATCTTGCTTTCTAAGAATAGTTCCAAATGTCCCAGCTGCGTGAATATACAGACCACCATAACCTGTAATGTAAAGGGATATCATCATAATAGAACATTATAAAGTTTAATTTTTCTGTTATTGAATGTAATGAAAGTATTTCACATTTATGTAATAAACAGTACGTAACTGAATAGACAACTAAGGTTAAATATATAGCTAAAAATATTTAAATAATTTAACCAACAATATTAAATATTCTAGATACACCACATGCGCTCAAAATGGGTCAAAATCAAGAAGTGCTTGAACTCCTCTCAAGCACTTCTTGGATCACATTCACGCGTGGACCGCTGCAAAGTCAACATGCCGCAGAGCTCCGTGAAAAATGCGAAAAAAATATTTATAATAAGTGTGGTTTTTTCAACAGGTATCTAAACAATGTTTGTTAATTTTAACGCATTTGAAGCAAATTTAGTTGTAAAACTTACTATAAACTGATATAATATAAAATATTTGTGATGTCCAAATACATGGTCGGTTATATAGCCGTCTCTTTTCCTCGCGATCCGATAACAGCGCATTCAGAATTGCGCGTAGAGTCAAAGAAATTAGGTCAATATTCTTCCGCATATAGCAATAAGTCGTAAAATTTTACGAGCTTGCATTTGGAACTGTCATAACTCTGGCGCATGCGTTTTAATTTAAGACCTTATGCAGTATTCATTAAAGGTTTGAATAATACCTTAAAAAAAAATTAACAACTCGATCATCTTACGGAGCTCCATGGTCCAATGTACCTTTTGGATAGGTTTCAGCCATGATTTTGTTCATGATGATGCATCTAGGGTATTTAATATTATTGAATTTAACCAATAATATTCTTTAGTATTATATTATTGATAATGTCATGGTAAAAGTTTACCAGACTGAATAGGGCAAACTTTGCAAGATTAAGAGGCAAACGGGAGTTGAGTGGAAGATATAAGCAAGAAAAAGAGGTGCCCGCTCAAATTTTCTCTTAGTTTAAGTCTAAATAAAATCTCTATTTCTCTTAGTGCTAGTAAATGAAATATGTATATGTACATACATGTATATATTGTACACATACAATACATAGAGATGGAGCTAAAGATGGTCATAAGTGCATTTTTTTTATATGTTGTGGTAAGTTACCTGGGGTTTTCTCAATGCAATGTACCAATGTTCCTGTAGTTAGTGCACCCAATAAATAAGCATCTCCTTCATTAGCTCTGACTGTGAAAATAAGAGAATTATTAACTTATTAAAAACATGTTATGAATTTTATATGTGTGGGGTCAGGGTCTTTTAATGTTTTGAACTTCATGTTTAATATGTATGATTGCATTGCATGCATTACTAGTAACTAGAAATCAGATTGCCATGATTCTTTCTTTTATAGGTACCTATTTGGATTATGTATATTTAACATAAGGAACCTTGACAATTTTATATCAATACAAACAGTAATTTTTAAGCTATGTACTACCTAATATTTTTTTTTATATGGCTTTAAATACTGCTTTTTAATTTAGATACTGAGAAAAGAAGTAATATTTATGAGGAATGAAAATAAGGTTTCCATTCTACTAATATGCTGAGTAAAGACTCAGAAATTTTTAAGATGCATAAATTGACAAATAAAATATTTCAGTATTACATAATCTATAGTATTAAAACAAAGATAAATAAAAAATGTTTCCAACCAGGTATCCTTGGTAGTTCTCGAGAAGTTTTCAATATATCTCCTGCCTTCATATTCTCTGTTGCTAAAATGTACTTTAGCTGGTCCCCAACAGCAACAAGAGCAATGTGTGCTGTCCGACAACCATCTTCCATAATCTAAATAATAATTTCAAATTACATGATTAAAAAAACATAATGGGAGAACTGTAAATGTATTGAAATAATAATGTTCGTGTAAAAAATAATAAATGAATAAAATCTCTGGTTCAGCACATTGAAAGAAATTCGATTTTTAATAGACTTACCTGAATCACTTTTTCCTCTTGTGGTGGACCCTCTTTAGGCCCATCTCTAATCCAAGATATCCAATGATATTTATGTTTGATGCCTCCACCAATACCTTTTGCAACTACTCTACCTATCATAATAAAAGAAATAAAATTTATTTAGCTAACTGTATGAAACAAAAAAAATACAACATCAATGAAAAAAAAAAAGAAATGGTGTTACAGTGGAAAAAAGTAAAGTAACTTTTATAATATACAGTGGAAAAATATATTTTTAAACATATTTGTTGTTCAGGTCCTTACCAGTAACCGGATCTCTTCCTGCTAAATTTGTAACCTCTAAGGGTTTTACGGTGTATTCCTCTGGGAAGTGGACGATACGTCTATATGCTTTACCGAAGCCTGGTTTAGGCTTAATAATGTTAGGTTTACTTGCAAAGTTTATAGCACTTGCATGAATTCTCTGTCTGCAAATAAGTGTAGAAGTCAGAGTCAAATTAGAAAATAGCCTGTTTACAGCCATAACGGCAGTTAGCTAGTTTAGAGGTGTTATTTTATATAAAGAAAAATAAGGTTCACTGTTTTGGAAACTTAGATTTTTTTGAAAACTAGATTGCAAATAACCTCTTCCACCTATCAATCAAATAACAAATTGTCAATTTTTTTTTTGTTGAAGTTCTCCCGTTTTATGGAAGGCAAAGGGAACAATGCCCATACAGCCTGGTTTTTAATTAAATTAATCTTCTTTTAAACCCCTTCCACACGACACAATTTGATTGCCAATCTGATTGCCGATTGAATTGGGTACAATCTGGTCGTCCGTCTACACATGCACAACGAGATCGCCAATTTCAGTTTTATTTGTTGCCTCTGCTGAACGGACTTGTTTGTATTAGGATGCCTCCTACCAAGAAGCAAAAAATTGAATTAATCTTGGCTCTAATTACAAATGTAGATGAGAAAAAAAGAAAAAAAAAAGACTGTGGACAAAACAATGGTTATTAAAAAGAAAGCAATTGAGGCACTTAAATGTAGTTATATTATATTTAAGTGACTCAATTAATAAACTTAAATATAGTTATACTTAAAGCGTAATATTTTTAAAGAAAATATAACTAGAAAAAAATCCACGCGGACCAGGCAGAAGACGGGACTCGAACCCGCACCCTTCGAAAACCCTTTAAAATATAACTGAGTTATATTTTCTTTAGATTTAAACATCAAGCAGTTACATGCTTTAAAAATAATAAAAATTATAACTATAGTTGCTATTTCTTCTTTCAAATGTTTAATACTTGTAAAAGTATTCATTTGACATTGTGGGTTACCTATAATGCGAAGAGATGGCGCTGCCTTGCAACTTAAGAATGGCTGGAAGAATTTCGACGCGGTCCGTGAGGGCCGCGGTAGTATAATTGGTCAGTGCATTCGCCCGGATTGCGAAGGGTGCGGGTTCGAGTCCCGTCTGCTGCCTGGTCCGCGTGGATTTTTTTCTAGTTATATTTTCATTAGATTTAAACATCAAGCAATTACATACTTAAAAAATAAAAATTATAAAAATATATATACAATATTATTTCTTTTTTACCCCAGCATGCGCGCATATCATTGAGTAGAATATAAATTTAATTAAATGATTTTTTATTTTCAATAACAAATAACTGCCTGGTCCGCGTGGAATTTTTTCTAGTTATATTTTCTTTAGATTTAAACATCAAGCAGTTACATGCTTTAAAAATAATAAAAATTATAACAGTAATATTTTTATCAATATTTTTCCTCTTATTCCGCAAAATCTCTAAGGAATTATGCCTTGCTTGTTTATTTTTATATAATGGGTTAGACACATCCCAAAGGCATGGCAAGTCTTTACATATATCTAAAATCTCCTCCATTACTTCCCGTTCAGATCGAATAGACATAATATTGTCGTCATGTTGCTCCATCTTCTCAAAAGACAAGTCAACGCACACACCCGCTCTGAACGCCGCTTGCACAGTGACTACGTTAAAAAAATGGCCAGTTAGCGTCCACACCACCCAATTTGATTGGGCAATCCCGAATCGGGCGATACCGACCATCCAATGACCTTCAATTTCATATTTCCGTCCACACAACACAATTCTATTGTCAATCTAATCAAATTGGACGTAAAATTGTATCGTGTGGAAGCCACTTTAGGTTATACATTAGAATGTCGGTGTGACGCATTGTAATGTTTCTTGGAGTGTTTGGCACGAAATGTATCGAGTTGGCTTTTTCGATAAACTTCTGTGAAGTAGTCAACACTACAATAAAATTCTCACGTCCACTTGAGCGGAATAGTGTATATTTTGACTATTCTACTAATTCTTCAGTTACGCAGACAGTTGTAACACAAAATCACACCAATTTTATTTCACAATATCCACTATGAACGAATTTAAGAATAATTAAATTAAGACGCAACCACACTCGATGAAATCCCGCCAAAAACTCTCCCAAATTGTCAATTTTACCACCAGGGCTGCCTGAAGTGATTTTGTAATTTCCGCCAGATTGAAAATTATTATACGCCAAAATGATACCTTTCCAGAAAAATAACCACCAACATATACAAAATAAGTAGATGTTTGACCATATTTTTTTAAAATATTTACTAGCGATTGGATTACAATCGTGCATGAATTATGACAGTCTCTATATGTGTGTTTCTATGGCACCCATCATAGCATTAAAAATATCGTCATATCGGGACTTATTTCGTGACACTAGTGGCAATGAAACAGAGAGTACGAAGAAACGTGGAAATGGGCACAGGAGTTCATCGTACTACAATTATATTCAATCCCAAAGCACGAACAAGTGACTCATCATCACTCATCATTGCATAATATGGATTAGTAACTCATGCACGTGGATGAGACTCTCCCATCCGTCTTTCCTCTCCTATGCTTATCGCCAGAAAATCGCCAAATTAAATTTATTTCCACCGACTATTCCGCCTAAATGTCGGATTAATACCCCGATCGCTTCACTGATTACGACACACATTATGGTTATGATTTTGTTTTCCATTTATTCGAAGATGAAGGGTTGTTGTATCTGCTGCAAAGAGTAATATAAGTATAATCTTCTGATAGTACGATATATGAACATACGGCTGATACCAAGCTTTTGAAGTGTCTCGAATATGACCCATCTTAACCGATCCGGTCGATGCGATGAACATTGCAGTCGTATCTTTCCAACTTTAATCAGAGATCATGTACCATCGGCAAGGTTGTTTGTAGGCGTAAGTATTAGTCAGTCCCATCCGTTTTTATCTTTTGTTATAAATTGTAGCAAATTGAGGTTGTAAGAAAAACTAATAGTTTTGACTGTGTAGGCAGGAATAAATTAAAAATAAAAATGTGTAAATAGGTGGCTTACTTACTGGTTTGTCCCAATCTTTAAAAATAAGGTTAGCCTGTACGAACATAAAATCGTATGCCTTGATGAGGAAAAATTTTAAAACTTAAATTTGCAACGCCCTCTCGCGGTGATTTTGTATCAAAAAATACATCGTGAATGTGGCGTGTGTTGTTTGGATTATTGTGAGTCGTAAAATGAGAAACGCTTTCGGTGGTTATCTAATTCTGGATTTAAGTGTTCTTTTTCTGTGTTAAAATATTAATCTGTCTAGAAACTATTTGTGAATATAAAAAGACAGACATAAAAAGTGCGTTACTTTTGGTATTTTGTCATAGGTTGCATGCCTGACTTGGGGTCTTGAAGAGGACAAAAAAAATAATCAGTTATTCTGATGGTAAATTTATAATGCTGTAAGTTATTAGTACTAAAATTTTGTTAAGGATGTGGAAAATATTAATAATCATTCAATTGATGTGGGTGATCATAATTATAGCTCACCTTACAGGCAGGTTACCAAACTTACAGATGTCTTTTAATATCAAAGCATTTTATTATTAAAATATCCCCGTATTATATATTTTCATTCAGATAACGTTTTACACGCATATTTTTGTTGTGGTTTCTGATATTTTGTGACTAAGATAAGTTTTTGTGTTACAGAAATAGACATAACCAGTCTTCCGGCTCATTGGTACATTTTCTCTATACAATGAGGTGCCTTATAAACAAATTTATCTATTAAGCTCTAAATCTGAGATACATCATTATGTTTACTAGAGCTGAGACTGAATAATATCATTATGAGTCATAATATGGCTGGAATGCCATCGTACAGGCTGCCAGGCCCTGGGTTAGGACCTCCTGATTTCAAGCCTCCTATGGATACTCCAACACCACCTGTTTCAGCTCCTAGCAATCCGAAGAAAAGAAGAAAAACTTCAAATGCTAATAATGCTTTAACACCTCAACCTCCACCCACTGCACAAGACCTTCTGCCACCACCACTTACAGGGTATGGTGACACTATTGTGGCATCAAATCCTTTTGATGATTCCCCTTCAACAGTTTCCCATAATGGACCAATGATGAACCAGAACGGTCCTATGATGAGTCAGAATGGACCAATGGGAATGATGGGACCTATGCACAGTATGGGTGGACCACCAATGAGACATATGAGTCCATCCCCCCATAGTATGAGTCCAATGATACAACAAATGCCACCAAGAGGCGGAATCAGTCCCATGGGAAATATGAGTCCGATGGGTCATATGGGAGGAATGTCACCTATGGGGGGACCAAATATGGGTATGAGTAATCACAGTATGGGCCCGGGAATGGGTCCAAATTCAAGATCAATGGGCAGTCCAATGAGTCCCATGAATTCAATGCCAATGGGCTCACCAATGTCTTCTGGTCCTATGGGAAGTCCTATGAATATGGGGTCTATGGCTGGTAGCCACATGAGTAATAGTCCGATGGGTCCACCTATGCACAGCCCCCTTGGTGGGGGGTCAATGAATGGTCCCATGGGTGGTGGAGGACCTGGTATGAACGTACCTAGAATGAATGGGCCAATGGGACCTAGCTGCTCTAATGGTTCTATGGGACCTACAAGTTCTATAATGTCATCTAACCCAATGCAAAGTGGAGGAATGGGCCCTGGTCATTGCGGCCCAATGAGGCATGGTAGTCCCATGGGTTCAGCAATGGGGAGTGGACCTATGGGTGGTAATGGACCGATGACATCTATGGGACCTGGACCCCCATATGGAGGAGGTCATATTGGTCACGGTGGACCCATGGGAATGGGAGGAAATGGTTCAATGGGTATGGGTCCAGGACCAGGTAACATGGGTAATTGTGGACCATTAGCTGGTATGAGTGGAATGGCTATGGGAGGACCTGGAGGACAAGGCGTCGGTCCCATGGGACAGGGAATGGGAATGTTTGGACCCAAACCAATGCCTGTCAGTGCTGGTAAAGTGTATCCCCCAGATCAGCCAATGGTTTTTAATCCTCAGAACCCCAATGCACCTCCTATTTATCCATGTGGAGTGTGTCATAAAGAAGTTCATGATAATGATCAAGCAATCTTGTGCGAATCAGGGTGTAACTTCTGGTTCCATAGGTAAGATTTTTTTGATTTTTAATATTCCCTAAATTGACAACATAAGATTTTATAAAGGTCATGATAATATTTTTGTCTAAAAAATAAAGAGGCAATTGAACTAGAGCAACTTTATAGACTACAGTAAAATAGCCCTTTGATGGTATTGTCTTTTTGTTGGTGAATAAAGTGTCAGAGCTCCATGGGGTAGGGAACTGGTTTTAGTCTGGTAAGGTGAGGATGGCTGGAATGATACATTTTCTCTCTCCTCAGACTCCACTTATTAATATCATTTGGGGTGAGGTAATTTTGCAACATCTTATATGATAAAAGTATTCAAGTTTATTTCAAGTATTCAGTTTACAAGATTTCATGGGCAATGTTTTAAAATATTTGTTGTTTTCAGAGGGTGTACTGGTCTAACAGAGCCAGCGTTTCAATTATTGACAGCAGAAGTATATGCAGAGTGGGTGTGTGATAAGTGTCTGTCATCTAAGAATATTCCCCTTGTGAAGTTTAAGCCATAGCGCTACGCCGCACCACCTTCACCTCTCTTAATGCCTCCTATTTGAGTTGCATATATTTTATACACTTTGGGCATATTGGGACATTTTTAAAATAATGGACTGTAAGAATATATTTGTCAGAGAAAAGGCAATCTAGTCCCTGTGTCTGTAGCAGATAACTCATCACAACTATTTATTTCACTTCATTCGCTAAAAAGGACACTAATCATAAGGAATCGTAATACATAGCTTGGGCAAGTAATTGGTTTGTGAATAGTCTTATTAAGAAAGATCTCATGTTGGATAGTTGCATAAAATTAGGAAACTATATGTATGAATATGATTTGAAGACTTGAGTAAAAAATTGTTATAGAATCATTGCCTCATTTTGTGTTTTCCATTTGTAATTATGTAGTTTTGTGTGGAAGAAAAGAAAATGCAGACGGTCCTGTTGTCTAGTCTGTAACCTTATATCATTTATTTATTTTTAATATTAGGAAAATGCAATTAGTATTGAATATACATAGAGCATGTTCCTGTATTAGGCATATCTATTAAAGCAATTCAATGTTATATATTTCCTATTTGGAACATAATACTATTAAATGGACACTAAACTCATGGTCGAGCAATATGATGACTGCTCAAGCAGTTTTTCGATGCCTGTTGTGTGCCGCTTTAGTCTCTGTGCATATTGTAAATATATATCCTAGATAAGTAACTATGTAGTTATAAACACTTTCCGCCTTATAAGTGGTGACCTTTACTTATGTGTACAGTCAACTTTAAATAAAGTAGACCAGTCGAATATTACTTTTGGCATTGGTGACACCTCATAAGATTTTATTGCCTCTTATCATTATTATTAAAGTGGTGCCACCGTGCTGTCTCTTAAAGTAAGAATTGGGCGATTGTTAGTTTTGCAATTATATAAAGTACTTATTATTTTGGTGCCCTCATTTTGCTTGTAATATGCGCATTTTACATGTAAATAGAATGAATCCATACGCTTTGTTAAAAATAAGAGTGTTAATGTGTTTGTCAATTTCTTTAACTTTTTGGAGTTTTTTTTTTAATAATTGTAGGTAATGTAAATATTGTAAGGGTAGTTTTTATTTTAACTGAGATTATAATGTGTCGGCGAATAGGCTCCACAGATTCGCGCGGTTGTGACTTAACTTGGGTGTAGCCTTCAGCTAGAATATTTTATTGATAAAATTATGTAGTAATCTAAAATGTCATTATTTTTGCGTCAGAAATAGTGTAAATATAATATTAAAAAATGCAGGATATGTCTCTCACTGATCAATAAACCAGATAAATCATGATAGTCTTGTAACATTTTTAATTTTAATATAATTAGGTATGTATTTTACTTTATTTGAACAGAAGTATTATTTACAGAATGGACGGAATAATACCTTTTTAATTAGGAAGTTGCCTAAGTTTTGAATTGGATTTTAGTTTTGTACCTACAATAAGGTTTGTATAATGGTGATTTATATGAAACATTTGTGAAAGAGAATTTTAATCAATTGTAAAAAATCCTTATAATATATTTTATAATTCAACTGCGACGACGAAGAAATAAGATTGGTTGGGTGAGAGAGTCATTCGTTATCTCTCTTACTCTACTGTCGTCTTTTTGTACTCTTTTATAAAAACAAAAACGGAAGATAAGGTACGGTCATTTTAGCATCAAATATGTTCCTACTCAACTACATAAGCAACTCTCACACACGCACACTTCTGTAAATAAACATTCAATCGAGCGGGCGAGACAGAAATGTACCCCTAGCACGAATCACTATCGATATTGGAATAGTTTGCGAGTGCGAAATATATACTGTTTTGTATGGAAACTTGAACGTTTTCATACAAAATTTGAAAATGACATTTCGGACTCGCAAAGGATACGAATTCGATAAGGGGTTCGTGCTAAGGGTACTGTACGCATAAAACGCAGCGCGAGCGAAGCGGCGAGTCCGCGTCGCTCGGCAGTCAGTTGCCATTCGTTGTTGTCGTTTTCTTTTCTCTCTGTATAAATGGTCATGCTCTATTGTTGTTCTTTTCTTGATAACCAATGGCGAATTTTGTAAATAACATTCATGACAAATCCTGATTTTTGAGAAAATAATGTTTTTATAGTTTTACAAATGAAAAGTGTTGCCGTGGAATTTGTTATTTATCTTGAAGTATTTGTGTTCTTTTTAAAAGCATCGAAGGCATTGTTTTGTCTTTATAACACAGCATATACGCAATATTATTGCACATGCAGCGTGTTTGGATGTCAAATTGTGACTAAAGCGTATTGTGTTCATGCACCACAATTTAAGCGGTACACTTTTGAGGCGCAAGTGCCGTATCTTCCATTTTTGTTTTAATGTAAGTGGTTACTGTTTAACATTGAACGGAAATCTTTATTCTCGCAACACCTACTTTACATTAATTTTTATAATTGAATTTTTTTGTTTACTTACAATATAACATCGAGGGTCTATCTTTAATACAGTTGATTCTATACTGTAAATTGTTATAGTATTCAATTGTTTTGAATCATTAATTACTCCTTTGGGGTTGTCCATTAATCACGTGAGGCTCGAAAGTCCGTAAAAAAACACGAAATATCACAAGGGGGGATGGTGGGTGTAGTAATATATCACGTGTATTTACGTGGTCCTAGGATACTGTATATATAAATTGTTCAGTTTCTTTCATTATATTGATGTCAGTCAAAAACAACATTTCTGTCTACCTCTAAAAGTTTAAAAAAATAAGATTCTTTGTAGGTACTAAAAATACACGTGATATGGGGTGGGGGGTGGCGGGCTAGACTTTAACCTCACCATGTATCACCAAGGAGGAGGGGGGGTTCAAAAATGCCAAAAAAAACATCACGTGATTAATGGACGGCCCCTTTATGTGCTGATTCTTAGATGTTTTTAATAAAAACTCATCCTGATGTCTCATATTATTTTAAAGTAATTTAACACGTGTAATATTTATTCACTATCAACAACAATGTTTACATCGCGCCTTCGAATACACAACGATTCGTTTTTATACTGCCGCTACATGTTCATGACAAATGGAGCATAATACCAAATAACTTTTCATGCAGTACTGCTATCACTACGCAGTGTTTTTATATCGGGCCTGTTTTCTATCACATTAAATTGAATTTTTGGTTCTTACGTGACTCGAATAGGGCAAATGATTCATAATTTAAATTTGCTGCAAGTTAAGAAAATAATATCTTTCGCATAAACCTTATTGCTTGAGAAAATTTTAAAATCATATTATGTGAAAATTATTCAAATCTACCTAACTATTTAGTGAGTTTGTCATATACATGTATAAAAAAAATCAATACATTTAAAATATCTAAGTCCCTATATTTTATTATTGAGCTGTATTATTTTTCTGGGCAACATTGTACAAAAGGTAGTATGTATACGGACAATGAAGTGCTGTCAGTCTCCTATGTTAAATTCTTCAATCTATTTGATCTTTGAACCCTTGGACTAATGTTGAAAATCGATTATAGATTTTTGTAGTCTAATAAATAAACAATAATATCAGTTTACAGAATTATCAATTTGCCTCAATTTATATTAATTTTCTCAATTTAATAAATTGAAGACGTTTTCATTTTTGGTGTGCTGCTGTCTATATAAAATAATGTATAATGGAAGATATAGGTGGAAACATGTTCTGTATTATAACGTTTCTTTGTTGAATAGCAAGTAATGCTGTCAATTTTTTTTTTGAATTTCACAAAATTTGTAACCGTTGAAGTGAAAAATATATGTTAAACAAAAATCAATAAGTACTTGCAATTTTTAAAATATAGTAGCTAAAGAACCTACATATACAATTTTATAACATATGTAGTTATTTTAATTATCTTGTATTAATTGTATGTATGTTTTGAGATAAATGATAGTCCAATTTTTAAATGAAGAATTTTATGGAATTCATTTATAGAAGTAAATCTCTATTATTGAATACTTTTAATGAAAACCCTCAAATAAGTGTCTAATTTAATAAGACAAGTGTTGACTTTACGTAAAAAAAACAAATAAATATGAAAATTTGATTGACTAATTTATGTAAGTACTTAAGTATAATAAAAGTGAAAAATTTGCATAGTTTTGGCAAATAACATGGTTTGAATTGGAGTTTTAATTTTTTCTAAGAATCTTATCGTTTTCTCAGAATACAGTCTTTTCATAAATAATATTTCATAATTTCTATAACGAGATCTTAGTTATAAATTAATATGTAAACGAAGGCATGGTTAAACCCTACACGAAATACTACTTAAGTGATTGGTACCTTTTTTAGACTCGTTTATTTATCTCAAACCATAGAACTTGGAAATTAATTTTAAACTGCTTTGTATTTGTTACTATGTGAATGTGTATAAATAATCTATTTTACCATCATCATACATTTTACTATAGGAATTCAAGGGATTTTATTGATTAAAATAATTAACTCACATTAATAGCGGACTTTATATATTACTAACACTGTGTAAGCGACCGACGCGGACGGGCCGCTACAGTCAAAGGTTTGGCGTGAGGTGATTATTTTGTCAAATCAGAAACCGTTTAGAAATCTATGCAATATCGCATAAATCTTACCATAGGCATAATGTGTTAATCCGTAATTATTTTCCGACATTAACAGTCGTCTGGCCGGGTCTTAGTTTATCAAGTGCCTGCTACTATAACTCAATCCCTCCGGGTTATGTTGGCCCAAGTGTCAGAATGACCAGTGTGTTAAAATGTCTAGGAAATATTACAACCACGTTTAAGCATATTTTTGTTTAAATGACGTTGTTTTTAAACAATTGTTCAACGCATGACTAACTCTTTTTGTTGTGGTTCTAAGGTGAATGTTTAAAAACCTGACAATGTGATTATCGGTTCGCAAAAAATTCAAACCTAAATTTTCTATAGGTAATTAAAAATTAAAAGGATATCATGACATTTTTTAAGTTTATATCAAATTCACGAATGAGAATTTTATAAGATTGACCTGAGCAAAAGTAACTTAAAGTAAGTCTTATAATTTACGTGTTCAATTTATTAATATAATGTGTAATTTTAGCAAAGTTTGAACAGAAGGGAACGGGAATATAACTGGTTTCAGAAAGTGCTACTAAAGTTGAGTCTTGTGGTAAACTAAATAAAGAAAGAGTTGTATAATATATGAAGCCTTTTGTCTATAGAAGTGCTTTGCAATACATTGAAACGGAGCTACATTTTTGGAAGCATACTCATTTTTCTGGAAACCCGAGGATTGTTCTGGACTTTAACAAACCAGTCATGCTCGTGCACAGACTAACCCCAGAGTGTGCCGCATTTTTTTTAAAGATTTTATTGTTGTTCAAGCATGTCTTGGGAAATGCTTTTCTATATCGTTGTTTTCTAGATGTAATTAAGTATTCACAGTGGTACCTGTACCTTCCATGTTCTTCTGTTCTAACTTTATTCTTCTCCGTTAATCATTTTGACAGTGTTAAAATGAAATAATTTCATTAATGTATGTACATAAACATTTAAATTTAGTCATCTTCAATTACTGCTAATAAATTTGTACAGTTAATTATAAATTAGAAGTTAAATTGTCTAAGTATCGGCCATGAATATAAATACTTACGAACTTTTAATTGCCGTCAGAACATCACAATTGGTTCACGGGGACTGCTTCTATTGTATATTATTTTCATGTAAATGTTATTATCGGCGATGCAACATGAATGATAACAAGTTCTATTTAAGAATATTTTATAAAATAATAGAACGACGTCAGTGGTCTTATACATGTGCATAGTTTATTTTGTATTATGTGAATAATAACAAGCAATAATAAAATTGTTATCGACGAATTTTGTTTCTCATTTTACATAATTAATTAAAATCTATTTTCTAGACCCCAAAAAATAAGCCAATCTTTTTAACAGTACAGTCATTTGGTGAGAAATATAGTGCCTACTTGGAAAGTTTCCGGGAGTTTTGAAAATTAGTAATTTTACAAATTTTGAGGTGCTCTTTCCGAATTTCGATTTTGCCACCTTGACTACACTTACACTTTGCGGCGCTCATACGGTAAAACTATTGACTTTATGAAAAAAAGATAGATACATAAATTGTAGGCAATTGTCTCTAGTTTCATCACTACATAGTATAAAGCAAAGTTGCTTCCCGCTGTCTGTCGCTATGTATGTTTAGATCTTTGTAGTTTTAAAGATGCAACGGTTTTTGATGTGGTTTTTATTAAATAGAGTGATTCAAGAGGAAGGTTTATATGTATAATACATGCAAACGCTGGCTGAACCCTACGAGATAGATCAAAATAATATACCTACTACAGTATTGTACACCTTAAAAAGTCTACAAAAAAGCACAATAACCATTTTTTATCCTATACTTTTTACGAGAAATAATAGATTATTTACGAAGAGATTTTCAGCAATTAACATTCGTCCTTATCCAATTAGGTAGATACCTTAAATACATTGTGCATTTAATATAGACCAATTTGGCCCTATAACGCATGTAATTTAAATGAATATTTTCGAAGATATTACAGATTTAAAATGCAGTTTCCGACGCTACGGGGCTTTGCGGCGCGTGCCTATTGTAATTAGGTATTAGAAGAATGTCATTGTGTGTATAATACAAGCCTGAGAACAAAAACTATAGTCTACACTACAGCTCTACACCGAAGCGAAGCGTGGGCGGGCCACTAGTTTTGTATAAAACTGTTTCTATCGTGAGTGAGTCGGAAAGGAGATATTGTCAAAAAACTGCTTTTATTCGCCATCAGAAATTTGGAAGGAGCACCTCAAAATCTATAAAAATACCAATTTTCAAAACTCCCGGAAAACTTTCAGGTAAAACTACCAAATGACTGTATTACAAATCTCCCTGAGATGATCATAATTTAATTTAGCATATAAATACTAAGTAAAAGTAGGTATTGGTTAAGTTTATTTATTTTGTTCATTTTCTTTCTCTTCATGAAAAAATGCAGTTCCCCATCGGCAGCAAGATCAGGGTCCCTGTTACCGGTGGTTAAGGATCCAGAGGCAGGAATTTCCTTACTATATTATTATTATAAATACTTAGCCTTCTGAAGTAGGAACGGGTCGGAAGAGTGAGTGTCAATATAAGAGCAGTTTTGGTTCGATGTATAAATAAATAAGCTCAATAATTTATTCCGCCGTGAAATATGCCGCCGTGAAATATGAAATATATAATGAAGTTTACACAAAGTTAATACAAAAAATATAATAGCTCGATTACACGTGGTCGTTAGCCCGTATTTGGGTGTACGAAAGACCTTACTTGAATTGGGCACTCGAAGCAATATTTACACTGGAATACGGTGTCGGGTTACCAAAACTCAAACTACCCAACTACTCCGTTCATTTACACTTAATTACTTACCCGAATTCCATTGGCACTCGTATTTCGGCTAGCGGCCAAATGTAATCGCGTCATTACAATAGTTATTTATTATACAAGAGTGGAAAGTTCCTTTTTAACCGCGTGCTCGATTTGGATGACCGAGCAAGCGAAGGATTCTAAAGTTGAATCACGAGCGCAGCGAGTGATTCTAAATTAGAATCCTGAGCGTCAGCGAGGGAAACAAACGAGCACAAGGTGAAAAATCTTTCCACTCGAGTGCAATACGTAACTTTTCATCCCACCTCAGCGAGGAAATGACAAAATGAAAAAGAAAACAATTTATAATGACAAAATATTTTTATTTCAATTAAAACACATTAAGATAATCTATAAATTGAAGAAAATAATAAGAAGTAGAAAATAATTAAGAAATATTAAATGTAACGTTGCTACAGTTATTTATGTTAAGTTTAATATTTTTGTTAGGTAATGTTATGTTGGTGTTTGTGAATTGTGCGCTGTTTTGTGGTAAACTACTCGTATCAGTAATTTTAAATAGTTGTGCCGATTCATTGGATTCTATTGGCGTAAATGTTGGCGAGAGAGGGCTATTGTTTCCAATCTTATGGGGGCTCATTTTAGATGTAGAAGGGCGAGACCAAGAATCTGACAGAGGTTCTTTCAGCGTTATGGCCTCCACGATACTATTACAAATTTTTGATTTATTTTGGATTGAATCCTCTATGTATCCCTCTACAACCGAATTAGACTTCCAGCCTCTATGGCGCTTAAGCGATAGAAGATCAGCCCCTGATTCGGCCAAAAGTGTGGCTGAGGTTCTTCTAAAACAGTGACCGGTGTATAACGGGGGTTCTAAAAGTCCGAGAAAAGTTGCTATTTCTCGTGGAATACTGCCAATTTTATTCTGACCCATAGGTTGTCGGATACACTTTCCGTTGCGATATTGTAGAAAAAATCGTTCAATTGGGGTGTTAGAAGGACGTAAAGCTTGATATTTCTGAACAATGTTTACATATTCCTTGCGAATAACGAAGTTGCGGTCTTTTTTTGTCTTGGTATTTAGTACATTAATTAATAGCAATTCATCAGAATTATGAGAATATTTTGATACGTTATTGACATTAAGTAGTGTAAGTTCATTTGTTCGACATGCTCCGGTTATACCAATAATAAGAACAACCTGTAACAAAAGAAGTATTTATAATCGTAAATAAATTAATCAAATTAAAAATATTGTAAGTACTATGTACAATTTTATCAACAACAAAAAATTACACGTATTGACTTACTTTTGCCGCTAAATATACGGAATCAGGTGCTTCATTAATAAACTTTGCAATTTCAGATGCTGTGAAAACCTTCGATTTTTTTGGTTTATAACCAGATGAGGCTCTTTTTAAAAATGCCACTAATTTATGATAGGTGTCGATATGAACGTCTTTCTTCATCTTAATTGTTAATTTTAGCATTGAATACGTACTCCATAGCGTGCTTGCTTTCTTGGTCTCAGATAATTCTATAAAATATGCTAGCAAAACGTTTTCGGAGAAAGTTTTTGCTCCTTTAGCTAGTCGCCACATGTTAAATATATCGTACTGTTTCAAATACTTCTCTCGTGATTGCTGAGGGAGAAGGCTCATTTGCGCATTATTAACTGTTTCAGTTAACTCAGTTGGCGTTAGATAAACTTCATCGTCGCTAATGTCACTCATTTTAGTTGATTTTTTTGTACAGTTTTTAGGTTATGTTAATTATATTAAGCAATAAAACGTGAAAAACTAGAATGGCGCGAAGCACGCAAATAAAACAAAGAAACCAAGAAGGTTCCAAATTTAAATTTTTTCACAATTTAAAAAGTTCTAATCATAAATTTGGCACCATAGAGGTTACATTAAATAGGTTTAATGACGTTTTGAATTTACAATTATATTGAGTACTCATTATATGTGATGTTCTAAATTCAAATCTACTTTGCCGCTCAAGCGAATAAAATAGAATTTTCCAGCCAGATTTCGAAGCGCAAAATTACACTTTCCGAGGTGGTGGGATGAAAAAGTACTTACGTAACCTTCCTCGCTCTTACCTTCTATAACACTATCTTATGGATCGATCTTCCTCCTACACTAACTTCAAATATAGCTCACTTATATTTAGTGAAACGTAGATTTTTATTGATTAGCTTAGTTTAGCATGTAGTTATTTCGAAGATTGTAGGTGGGTAATATAACCTAAATTGAGGAATATGGTTCTGAAATTCCTCCCGCCCTCCTCATTGTAGTCGAATTAGCTAGCGTGTATGGGATAGGAGTATGTTTTTGAAGTAAAAACTTCTTTAGCGGCGTTGTACACTTTTTTTGTAATGGGTAAAAACTGTTAAACAACTCGCGTCAGGACACGTGGCCTGATCGCGTCATGACACGTGGTCTGATCGCGTCCGGATGCGTGACCTAATCGAAAAATCGTAAGACGGAAACAATAAAATTGGAAAGGTTGTTGACTTTCAATATATTGGACGAAAGAGAGAATTTATTACAAAATTAATGTGTCTCGGTATCCCCTACCAAAGGTAAGCTCACAGGCTCTAAAGATGGCGTAAAGCACGACTTGGAACACCGAACATAAGTTATGCAATTTGAACTTGCGACAAGTGATAGTAGAGGGAGAGTCCGGATCTACGCAAACAGTGGCTGCGCCCACGGGACCGTTCTCCATTTTGCTCCAATCTGTAAAAATTTGGACTGTGATTGGCAGACATGTTTCGTCGATACTTTGCTGGTCATAAGCTATTTCGTAATTGATTGAGACTCTGCAAGCAGAGTGTAATAGCTAGCCAAACCGCACAAGATCCTCCCAGTATATCATCAGGCAGGCAATGAGACGTGAGTCAATCTGCACTGTTTGATTTCATGCATACGTAGAACTTCGAGGTCTAGAGGTGAAAATTGAGCTAGAGATAAAGAAGCAGTCGTTGACAGTGCGGTAGGCTCTGATAAAACTTGTATGGCAAAGGTCTGCTGTAAAGATGCTAATTTATTTTTATTTAAAAGAAGACGCGCTGCTTGGCCCCATATCCCAGCAGCCAGTAGGCCGGCTAGCCGGAGACGCCAGTTAATGCTTTCATCCAGAACGGGCGCCATTTTCAATAGAAACTTTGTGATACGATTACGGAGCTTTCAAAGTTCGTGTTTGGGCCTCAGGTGGCACAGGTCCGTAAAATATTTTCTTTACTGACAGTTTCGAGGCCCGAGTACGAACTTTAAGAGATCCGTAATCGTATCGTCAAATTTTATATGGAAAGAGCCAATTTGTTATTACATCCGGTAGGGAGGGTAGGAGGGTAGACACTTGATAATTTTCATAACTTTGACGATGTTACTGCTGTCAAAACTCGTGCTTGAGCCTCTGATTCTTACATGTGTTTTAGAGAATATTGATAAATAAATGATAAATTGAT